CCGGAAATGGGGGCCCGAGTGTAGACACAGCCCCGGGCTATTTGGCCGGTTGAGTGTGGCTAGTTCGCTATAGCAGCAGCCATTATAGAGGCTACTGCTTCAGAACTTGTTGGACATCTGGGAGACGGCTTTTTGCTACAGCACTGATCCCTGTAGACCAGGGTCGAGGAATATTGGTAGGAAATTTGCCATATTGCTTCAGGTGCAGTATCTGTTTTGTAAATAGGCAGGGCTTCAGTCTCCATGGTTAACGCTTTTGCATCTTTCACCAGCATTACATTAAAAAATAATGGAGAAACAGACACTTGCCTTTCCTTCATTTCTGCTGCACCCATCTTCAGTACCAACCCATTCCTCCCCTTATCTCTTAGTCCTTGACTTGATTTCAGCTTGAGCCCATCACATGACGCCACTCACTGATCTCATACGGAATAGCAACCAAACTGCATCATGCCTGGTACTTTAAAGCTTTATGAAAGCCATGTGAAAACAATACTCTCCCTAAACTGAAAGATTAGCCAGATCTGGCATAAGTCGCGCAGGGCCCTCTCTTCCACTGGCCTCTCTCCATTGTGGGTTTGGGGACAAAGCTGTTTTTACATGGCTTTCATTGCACTGATGTTACCATGAATAATAAGGACATACTCTTCATGACTCTCCTACCAGCTTGACAGATCTTCCTCTAGTCTTGCAGGCTTTTATTAGCACCTGTTTATATAAGCAGCCTATTCCAGGAATCACTTTCCATTTCTAGCTTCTTTTTCCCCAGAGTCAGCAGGGTAGCCATGCTAATCTGTTTCAGCAACAGCGAGGAGCGCTATGGCAGCTTAAAGACTAACACGTGTATTTAGGCACAAGCTTTTGGGGGGGGTTGGGCCCACTTCGTCAGATGCATGAAATGGAAATGTCAGTTTGGCAGGGATACGTGTACGTCCAAAGATGGGTGTGTGCATGCGTCTTTGCATGTGTATATATCCCTGCCAAATGGAAGTTGCCATTTCATGCATCTGAAAAGCTAATGCCCAAATTTTAGTCTTTAAGGTGCTACAGGATTTCTCATTGTTTCCCAGTGCTTCTACTTTATCCAGGAATGGGGTCTTCCAATCATTGCCTGTGAAGCAGTGCAGTAGCTCCTGCTGCCTGTCTAGCATTAACCTCTGTAGAACTATTAACAAACAGCTTTGATCACAAAGAATTCCTCAAAAGCCTAAAACCCCTCGGCTCCTACATCATTCACATTCATTTAGTCACCTTCTGCAGTGTCCCACCACGTCATTCCAAGCCCTTTCGTGGGTAGGGCCCTGCTATGTATTTTTCAAGCAGAAACATTCCTTATCTCATTAGCTATTATGGTTCTTATCTTGCAGACTCAATAATGACTTGGCAGAAAAGTCTAAACTGTGCCAGAGTTACCAAGTCCAATCTCCACGCTTTCCTTGGACACGCTTCGTTTGTAGCATTCAAGGTGCACCCCTCTGTTGGGCCCTTACAAAGCAGCACGTGTAGCTGGATTTTAACCTGTGTTATTTAGAAGGCTATAACAAGCATGCTTTCGCCTCTCTCTTGCTCCCCCTCCCCACTGTCTGCCATGAAGATTTATGATTTTCATAGTGGTGACGGATGGCAGAACGAGGAGCAATGGTCTCAAGTTGCAGTGGGGGAGGTCTAGGTTGATAGTAGGAAAAACTATTTCCCATAGCGGGTGGTGGAGCACTGGGATGGGTTCCCTAGGGAGGGGGTGGAATCTCCATCCCTAGAGGTTTTTAAGTCCCGGCTTGACAAAGCCCTGGCTGGGATGGTTTAGTTGGGGTTGGTCCTGCTTTAAGCGAAGGGTAGGACTCTATGACCTCCTGAGGTCTCTTCCAGCCCTAGGATCTTATAATTTTGAGTGAAATTCTGTCACTTCCTTGTTTGAATGGACCTGGAACAGAGTGAAAGCAGAGTGGCGATTTTTGGTTAAAAACCCCTTTTCCCCCATGTTGTAAAGCTATCCCAGCTGGGGGATGTAAGCGACTCTGCTCTCACCCTGCACAGAACAGGGCAGGTGAATACAGGAGAGACCTCTAAAGAAAGTGAGGGGTGCAGGAAGGGGTACTCGAGACACTCTTGCAGTCTTCCCTTTGAGTCCCAACGGCAGTAGTGCCCCAGTATGGGGCTAAGGATTGCCCAGCTGTGACGTACAAGCAAGATTCAGAGCAAATTCCAACTCAGGTGATTCAATTCTGCCTGTTCAAATTCTCTGGTAATTTCAGTTGCTGTGTTCTTCCCCTCCAGCCCTAACCTGTTATGGAGACGGCAGTGTTGGTGCTATATAGCAGCCCTGCGATTCAGTGGAGAACTGATTGGTAGGAGGGATTTCCTAGAATCAGAGAGGCTTAAATCATTGATGGCTGTCAAGCACTCTGAGGTCCTCAGATGAGAGGTGCTAAAGAAGAGCAGAATTACTAGGAGGTTATTTCTGCTCCCTGTGTGAAACACGGAGTAACTTTCCTAGCCAGAGACTTGTTTGTTAATTCCTTCCCTGGGTGGGCTCTCTTTCAGGATTGTTGCAGCTTCAGTAGTGTAACCTGAGCTGTTGTGTCACTCACTCGTCTGCCGTGAGGCTGCCAGATGCAGGAACAGACAGGAAACAAAACCCGTCACTTCTGATTCTTCAGAAATTAAAAGTCCCCGTTCAGAGTCTCAAACCTGCCTTTCCTCGGAAGTCTCTTGTGTCATGCTACCAGGAAAGGTCCTGAATTTTGCATGGGGCCATCTGATATTGGAGTTGCTAAAGCAACTGTCTCTGTTTAATGAATAATATATTCAGAAATTAAATAATGTACACACTGGACCCGGGGCTCTGTTTGAGCTCCCCAGGGCTCAGGTGCTACAAATTCCTCCTGAACGAGGATGGAGACTCTAACCAGAGGAACCTCCTTCCCAGCTGGCTTTGCTCTTGTTGGGCAGTTACTTATGGGCAGATCCGTGATATCCATGTTGGAAGAGGCCAGGGGACAGCTCCGGGATTAAAAGGCAGCTTTCAGGCCTGGGGCTGTTCCACTCTGGGAGAAGAGTGATTTATTCTGGTGACCCTGTGGCTGCCAGGAGCCTGGGATCGAGGTGGGGGGTGTGGAGTCACTGAGGTGTGGCGGCAAGGAGTAATAGCACAGCAGCGTGGCCCGAATGCTCAGTGGTCTGGGGGGGGGTGCTTGGCACTGCCACAGGGGGACCTGGCTCAGATCCCGGTCTCCCAGGGTTGGGCTGCCAATGCTGTGGAGGCAGCATGTGGCACCCCAAGGGAAGGGGCTTGCTTCAGCAGGCACCCCTGCGGCCTCCACCCCTCAGGCCTCACATGTAAAAGCACCGGCTGGTATGAAAAACACGAACCCTTCCTAGCATTCAGGCCCTGCAATAAGCTGCTGTGCACTCCCCCATGCTCATCCTCTACCTCCTCTCTCCTCTGGGTGCCGACAGGCCGGGACAGCATAGTGATAAGCGCCTTGGAAACGCATGAGCTGCAGAGCTTTGCAGTTTGCTGTGTCTGTGCTGTCTTAGCTATGTCTGGAAGAAAGGGGGAGGGTCGTGCTGCCTACAGAAATCTCCAGCACACGCTAACCCTGAGGGCCTGCAGCTGGCCGAGAAGGAGGCTGGAGGCTAAGAGACCTCTTGAGGGAGGGAGGGCTGCGTTATCAAGAACAGTATTATCTTATGCTAGGGAATTTCTGCCTCCTTTCCCCAATCAGTCCTGATACTGTGGCCATGGGAGGGACTGCCAGTGCCTCTCCCTGTATGCAGGCAACTCGAGAGCAACTTAACATTAGGGGTGTTTTCTCTGGCTGCATGATAAACATTATGGGCCCGATTCTGAAAGGTTCAGCATGCCTGCTGCTCTCAAGCATTTTAATGGGAGCTCTGGCAACATGCACAACTGCTGCTGTTATTAGGAGCTGGAAGGGGTATGTCTGGGGGCACAGATTTGTTACAAGGGATGCAGCAATATAGAAACATTTTATCCCCAGACTTATTTTAGATCAACAAACACTTGATAAGTTACCATGTAGAGCAGGTAGACGAGATTAGCCACTTCTGGTATGTTCTGAGTCAGAAAAATCCAGACCACAGGTTTTAACTCTTTTAAAATCTGTAAAATAAAATGGGATACAAGCAGCTTTAAAACTTGAAGGCTGGAGACTGGGAAGAGGCACCTGGCTGGTCTAACTTAGCTCTGGGATTCCCCTCCTGCCCCTCCCTCCAGCCTGCACCTTAGCAGGAAAGGGCATATGCCTTGATTGACCCCTCGCCTCCGTACAACATCAAACCATCCAGTTTAAGACTTATGCACAAAACCAGCCCCCTGCCCTTGCCCAGAGTAAGAGGACCTCTTGATTCAGAATGTTTCATGTCTTGGCCTTTCACGGCTGCAACCCGGGATTCAAGTCTCAGTTGCTGCCCTCTAGTTTCTGTTCGCCTCTCACCACACACGGATGGATGCGGTTTGAGAGGGGGCTGGTGCCAGCTGATAGTGCAGGTCAGAAAAGAAGCATATTGGCCTGGCTATATGGGGGAAGTGTAGATACCACTGACTACTGTCTGGTTTGAGCCAATCTAGTCACCCTCCACTGTCCTGAACTTCAGCTCATTCAGCCCCGTAAAGCTTCCCATGGGGTTGACAGCTAGTTTAAATGGAGACGCCACCTTTTCACTAAAGGACTATTCCCTTTGGCTACGTCTAGACTGGCATGATTTTCTGCAAATGCTTTCAATGGAAAAGTTTTTCCGTTAAAAGCATTTGCGGAAAAGAGCGTCTAGATTGGCATGGACGCTTTTCCGCAAAAACACTTTTTGCAGAAAAACGTCCGTGCCAATCTAGACGTGGTTATGCGCAAGAAAGCCCCGATCGACATTTTCACCATCAGGGCTTTTTTGCACAAAACAGTTTTTAGCTGTCTACACTGGCCCTTTTGCGCAAAAGCATTTCCGGAAAAGGGCTTTTGCCCGAACGGGAGTGTGAAAGCATTTGTGCAAGAAGCACTGATTTTGTACATTACAAAGTCAGTGTTCTTGCGCAAAATCAAGCGGCCAGTGTAGACAGCTTTTGCAGAAAACCTTGCCAGGCTAGATGCAGCCTTTGTGACAGGGTCAGGCCAGAAGGACACACAAAAGTAATGGAAGGGAGGTATATTAGCCACAGACTGAGTAAATCTCTGTTCCCAGGGTAAATGGGCAGGGCTAGACCCGAACCAGCAAGAACTTGCCAGAATCAATCGGGGCAATGAAGCACCTGGAGCTGATTAAGTGGGCTTGCAGAGTCAGGTGAGCCCAGGCTAGCTAGAACACCTGGGGCCAATTAAAGAACCAGTTGAGACAAAAGAGCTTCCCTGCAGTTTGCTCCCCGCATGCTGAGAGGACAGAGGGAGCGTTGCTGGGAGACTGAGAGGATCAAGCTCCAGTGGCTATTAGGAAGAAGGGCCTGATAGAAGGAAGGTGATGGGGAAGATGCGGGGAAGTAGACCAGGGATTTGGTAGCAGTCTCACAGCTGGTATTGGAGACTCTCCTAGGCAGCGGTTATTACAGGGCCCTAGGCTGGAACCCGGAGTCGAAGATGGGTCTGGGTTTCCCCCAACACCCACTTCCCATTTCCACTCAGGGGAAAGTCTGGCTGAGGAAAAGAAAGGGGCTTGCCCAGACCTGCATTATTTGCAGATCCACCGAGACTGTGAAGTTTGGTTTCCCTTTATAACTCGTCACATTCTAGCCAATGATGAGTAGCTCAGCAAACAGCAAGGCGATGCCCTGGGTGTGGTGCCTGAACTGAAAGCTTCTGCGAGCCTCTGAGGCAAGGAAATCTGCCTGAAAGCACCAGACCCTCCAAGATCAGGTAGGAGCTTTGTTACACCTTGAAGCTGATGTTTGCTTAACGTGCCTCAAATCATTCTCTCCTTTCCTTCTGGCTGGCTTCCAGGGGTACACCCTGAGTCACTCCAACAAAATTAATGTTTACCCAGCTTGCCGACTGATAAGTGCAGGGTGTGGATAATCTTCTTCTTCCTGGAGGGAAATAAAGTCACCAAAGACTAAATTCATGGAGCTGAGAGACTGACAAGGTCTAACTGGGACAAAGTGATCTCTCTGCTCAGCCCCAGGGTCAGAGAAAGAGGAAGGGTGCAATGTACATCACACCTGAGTGGGCGCCTCAGGACTTTCTTCTGGCCTTCCTCAACCAGAGCAGCGGGTCTGATCAAGGAGAGGAGAAAGAGCTGAGTCACAGGGAAGCATGCACCTGCCTGGAACAACTGTCCCCACAGGCGTTACCACGTTTGAACAGACCAGACCACAGGTCCATCAAGTGATCAGTTATTGAAACTACAGCAAGGGTTCAAAAGATGGGGTGCCAGACCCTTTCTGGGAGATACCCCTGATTTGCTGCTGACCCTGTGTTCTCTCCCCTCTACTGGGCGGCACTACGTGATGCTCCCTGCGTGGTCTGTGGTGGTACCAATGAAGGAGGGCTGTAGAAAGAGGATGTGGGAGACAGGAAAGCACCATAAGAAGGACAGAACTGGAAACAGGAGAATAGAGAGACTAGCTGGGGGTGGACAACAGACTACTAAACCACAGAACTAGAAAGAAGTATCACGACAAGAAAAGGGAGATGAAGAGAAGAGACATTAAAATAAGAGCAGGATAAAGGTCAAAGCCAGGTGAGATGGAACAACTGTCAGAGCAGAATCGGGGGGTATTTTGGAAGGGCTGGAGTAAAGCTGGGGTCCCCCAGGTGCTGAAGAGGACCGTGTTGTGCCAGGCACTTCCAGGTTATTGGCATTAAAGCTTTTACACCTGTTGTAGATTCATGTGCCTCCGTGTTTCTGCCACCACAACAACCCGAGAGTTGGCGCTTGTCTATGATGTCTTGCAGGCTGAGGGCGCCAAGCGAAGGAGCGTTTCAGAGGGCGGCGAGAAAGCTCTACATTCTTTGCAGTGAGCTGACTGTGCGAAGCTTGTCCATGTGGAGATGGGGGATGGGAAGTCCCCTTCTTGACCCTGTCACAATGAACCTATACCCCAAAGCCAGAGTCAGAACTGTGCCCCACCTTGGAATGCAGAATTGCAAGAGTCTGATTGTGAAACATTCCCTACCTTGTAAAATCCAGTTGCCCCATCTGGGACCCCTGCAGCAGAGGGTGCCACAGGCTGGTAAGAGGTAGCGCTGCTTTAAATGGAGCAGGTGTGTAAGTTACACCACAAGTCCCTGTTCTCTTATTCCTGAGCAGTGCAAGGCTGTGTCGGTGTTGGGGGACACAGGCTGGTGTTCAGCATTGCTACCCCTGCACTGCGGTGTTGCCAGAGGAGCTGTCATGTGGACAGGGCTCTGAGCAGGGTAAGATGACAGACGGCCCACAGGAGCATTTGCTGCTGTTAATGTGCAGATCTCCACCCTTGTCCTGCCCTTTCCTTCTAATGCATGTGGAAGGGAGAGAGTCCTCTACCACTCGCGCTCTTCCCGTGACTCGGAGAGGCCCAAGAAATTTCTGCAGCCCGTAGCTGAGGCCGGGTGACAGGTGGTGGTGGGAAAACAAATTGGTGGCTGTGCACTTCCAGTCACTGAGGGGAAGTGACACAATCCTGCTGCCTCTCCCATTTCCCCACTGTCTGTCGCCAGGGATTTAATGGGGGTCAGAGCTCTAACACTTTACAAAGACATGTGGGGAGCTGCTAGTGGGAGTGCAGGGTGGGGACTTACCATGAGGCCGGGTGACAGGTGGTGGTGGGAAAACAAATTGGTGGCTGTGCACTTCCAGTCACTGAGGGGAAGTGACACAATCCTGCTGCCTCTCCCATTTCCCCACTGTCTGTCGCCAGGGATTTAATGGGGGTCAGAGCTCTAACACTTTACAAAGACATGTGGGGAGCTGCTAGTGGGAGTGCAGGGTGGGGACTTACCA